GTTTAGCAGACACTCCAGGAAGCCAAGCAGTAATGTGCTCTTGACGATACATACATTATCGGATAATGTCGAATATTCCCATCGGCCCGGACGCGGATTTTCGCACTGTGCGTCCGCTCTCGTAACGACCGCGTCTAGCGGAAAGGGCTTTTAGTATCGTAACATTTTGACAAGTATTATGCAACTCGCAGTGCTACGGCGCCGGAGGGAGTTTCTGGATGCCACTCTCTGGCAGATCAATATTTCCTCGCAGGGGGAAAGAAAGAAATGCGTAGGAACGCCAATTTTGATTTCCTCGAGGAGACGCGGCGATCGCGCTTACAAGTTACATGCAAAAATCATGTTGCGTTTCGTCCCTTAGAACCAGCGATTCGTCCAGCATGGATTTTTGAAACTAACAATTTTGTCTGTGTTTTGTTTGAACGCTGACGTCGACTTCTTCTCCGACTCTCAGTACTTTAAGTACTCTCTTACGTAAATTCGTAGCTTCTTCAACGCGATAGGTTTATTGTGCTTCAATTGTCACTACGACAATTAACAGTTACTATTTATAACTACATTTTTATAACTGCTATTACATTTTCACTATACATTTCACGCTTTTCCCTCTGCAGTTATACGAACAAACGCTTGCACGTATCTTTTTCCCAGGCAAAGTATATATGAGTGAATAAGATAAAGTAAATAAATAAGTAAAATAAAAATAAAAAGCCCTTTATATATGCCGCGTGGAACGGTAATGCCCTAGATTTATTTTGATATTTATAGCGCACATTGTCATGCAACGTGCACGATAGATTAATGCCTCTCGTGGCGCCCAGGGCGTTCGCGTGTTCTCCGCAACTTGCTTCTCGCCGCCATTCGTTTGGCTAAACGCGGCGAGTAGACATCGCCCTTCGGTAGTCTCGGCGCGCGCGGCGCGCGGCGCGCTCGTAGAAGAGAGACGTAAATGTAAAGTGGATGTTCGGGCCGGGATCGGCTGAATCGGTATAGCTTAATTGGCAATTAGCATGCCGCCAATGAAAATATCTGGAGTCGACAGGTGTGGCTGCTTAATTCAATCGGCGCATCTCGAAAGCTCCGATCTCCGCCACTACAACACCACCACCGCCACCACCGCCGCCACCACCACCACCAAACCACCTCCGCCAATGTCGGTAGCCTCCGCTTTCAACCTCCCTTTCGACTCGCATTCAACCAGCTATCACAATCGGATGTGACTCCGAGCTCGGGCGAATCCAATCCGTTTGGGCAGAGTACCGGTTCTTTATTTGCTCCTGGGTCCTTTCTTTTCTCCTCTCTTCTCCTTCACCGTTTTCTTCGCTCTTCCACGTTTCTGTCTTTCCGTCCCTCTCCCTCGCCCCCCCCCGTCCTCCTTCTTTATCCTCGTCTTCCCGGCCCTTATGACTGTACTACTCTCGCGAGAATCTCTCCCGAGGGAAAGATTCGCTATTGAGGGGTGTAGTTATCGGCTCCCCGGGGTATTTCGGCCTTTTAACCCCGCGTTCGCGCCGTCATCGGCGCCAGCTCAACGTCTCATTCTTAACAGACTCGAAAGCGACACGTAATTCTCCAAAGTATCGGTGGAAAATTGACTCGATCGTGCGATCTCACGCCGCGGCGCATTGAAATATACCTCGATGCATTTTCTGAAGAGTTCGGATTCGTCATCGTCGTATATATATATATTTTTTTTGGCTCAATCAACAGAGTCGTTGTCAACTTCGATACAAACGCGAGGCTAATTGGCGCGAACGAGTGGCAATTTGGCGCGAGGAGAGATTGCCGCAAACGAGAGTGCCTTAACTATTCTGCATATCGGAGGGCTCTTACTCAGACAATAGACGACTCTTCGATAAAACGTACCTGGCAAGTGTTTTCTCTTACGTGCGGATAAAATTACTGACGCCCGAGCTGTCGCAATATGAACGACAGATAAGGCATTTCGTGGTTCTCAACGAGAAAGTTTTATCAATCGACGAATTAAAACTTTACTCGTCGATAGCCAATTAGCCTCGCGTTTCTTACTTTCATTTAATTATTTGATCGGGTGGCAGGGTAATAATGGGGATACAGCGTAGGAATGATTGCAAGGACGTCCGCAGAATTTTTTCCAGGGGGGAGCATCATTTATATTGTTAAAATATTATTTTCAGAATACTTATATGATTTCAAATATACATATATACATATATAAAGGTGTATACAGGGTGAGTCTTTCCATATCCGACAAAATTTTTGAGAAGGTAGAACGGATCGAGATGAACGGAAAAGTCCTGTACCATTTTGCAATTTTCGTAATAGTTAACGAGTAATTGATTTTTAAAAATCGTTGTCTTAGGCCGGCCTACCGCCCAATTCGAGCGCGTGGCAAGATGTGACCGCCCGGCGATCGATATTGCTATG